TCAAAATAAGTAAAAAAAAAAAAAAAACTGAAACTGTTTGAGGTTTCTATATGAATCCCTTTGTCTTCCTTTAGGAGCTTTGCCCTTCAAAAGCCCAGGTCTTCATATCTTTTTTGGACGTAAAAACCCTTCTTTATCTTAATTATAATTTTTATTATCTAATATAGTAATCAAAAATTTACAAAAAAAACAAAAGTACCTAATGTTGTACTTAATACTTTGTAAATATATTAGATATTACAAATATAATTATTAATAAACATATATATATATATATATATATATATAAATAATATATAATAGTAAATAAAAATAGAAAGAATTCAATATGTTACAATTGCAATTTATAATCACTTTTAATGTATTCTTTTAATATGTCTTCTAAATTTATGCTACCTTCTATATCTATTATAGTCAAAATAGGTAATTGATCTTGCACTATCTAACTATGCAGCCCATTTTATTCTGTGTGTAACGTTCGCAAGTCGCAGAGCTTACTGATATTGTAAGTGCTAGTTTTGTAAGGTTAAATAAATTTAGATAAACTTCATAGATTACTACTTGTATATGTTACACATGTATATATTTATATTCTAAACATTTATGGATAACCTTATTTTATATTAAATTTTACATTTTTCGGGGAGGCTATGTCTACTTTTTGGGGGAGACTAATGCTAGGGGGCCCCCCTTTTGCACCTATGTTTCCTAGTATACTCCGAAATACTTCTCAACAGATTATCATAATTAGACAGTTATTTCTAAGTATTACCAAATTTCTAAAAATTAACACAGATTTTCAAAAGTTCTAAAGACTGTTGAAGATTGATATTTGCAAAAAAAAAAAACTGCTCAAATCAATTTCACTTAGCTTTTCATCAAAGTTAAAAATATTGTATTACATAAATGAAAAGTTTAATTATTTAATACTTTGACGTAATGATACGTCAATTTCCAAACACATTTTTCCTAGTGCTTCAGCGGTTAACGGGAACGGAATAGGCTAATTATCAAGAGGCAAAGGATAGGTTAATTTTGACAAAAATTGATTTAGTAGCTATTTAAAATATGCCGACTAATTTTAAGGTGAAATAATATTAAGTTTATTCTAGTTAATATACAAGTTTAAAAGTTATTTTTCTCAGAGTTATGGTGAAAGTTTGATAAAAAATGACTTAAGTAAAAGTAATTTTCTGGCGTATTTATTGAATGGATTTCAATTTTTTATTTTAGTGCGAAGCTTACTAATTTCTCTATGGGGGCTAAAAAGACGAGTTAGAAAATTAGTTAGATTTATTAAAAAAAGTAAAAGTATAAATGCTTATAATACAATTCTAAAAACAAAAATAAAAAATCGGCCTTTTAGTACCTATAGATAAGATGTTAAACTTCAAAACAAAAAAAAAAAAATGTTGAATTCGTTTCAGTAGTTAGTAGCCACTTCAGAAAGTGATTTCGCGTTTTAGTCTTTATTTGTATAAAATTTGACGCATTACGTTCCCCTAATGTAAGAAATATACTTAACAAATAAAGACAATAGCAACTGTGTAAAAACTTGTTTGGAGTACTGCTTAATCGCCCACGGTGTTACTACCTACGTATAATATTATAATAATGTGGAAAAGCGATTAAATAATATACCCATCAGTCCACATTCAAATCATTTATTTCTAACCGGAACCGTCGGCTGTCATTCGTATATCAAACAATATCATAGTATATTGTGTGTATGTCTTCCCTTATCGGTACTGTTACTTGTAAGCCGACAAAAAACCTTAACGTCATTATTCATACATGATAGCAAATAAATGTAAGCGTAAAAAAAGTGTACTGACTATAAAAATACTAAATCGGCCGAAACGTAAAGTATTACTATCAGGGTTCAAAAAACCAACCCGGTCGTATTTTTAATGGATTTATTGGGTTTTACCGTTTTTTTCCTTTTTCAACGCATACTTCATTGATATTACGTTATGGATCTTTTATATTTAAGTAATGTTACAATACATTTTTTTAATGATTTTGCTTATATTATATTGAAAATGATATCATCATCATGACATAATGCAAACTTAACAGGCCTTGAAGGCCCAATGCTGCTATCATAAGATGATGATTCCCAAACGAATTAACTGTCCATTTAATTGATACATTTATTAACGCGAAATTAATTTTAATATCATATGTTTAATCAAAAAAATCTTTTTATTTAAACTTATTTTTATGATTATGTTTATGATAATATACATTTCAATTTTTTTCACTAATTTATTGCAAAGTGCAAAATATCAATTGTTATTAAAAACTACTCAAAATAAGAACTGTTTAAATGACTCATTAAAAAATTGTGTTAAAATACTTTTTATACATTTAAAATAAGAAAATAAAAAAAAACATTTCTGAACCGATTTTAATTAAAAACAAAACATATTTTAAGTACGTATTTTTTTAAAAATTTTAAAGAGGATGTATTACGATAAATTTGTATATAAAAAAAACGATTGTACAGATCTGTTTGTATAGATTTTTGAGTAATTTTGGGGATAAACCATTTAGTAGTTGTTATTCATAATTGTCTTAGTAACACATTCACAGCTATTTAAAAATATGTGTTGTTCAGGAAAAGTTAAAAAACCCTTATAATTTATCAAAAACCCATCAAAATTATTATATTCTATGATAGTGGATTTTTTCACTCTAAAACCATCTAGGACCAGTCAAACCGTTTATGTTAGAAAAATATTTTAAAAACGTAATTATAGCGACTGCGTGATAATGCGATAAAAACCAAATGAATTACCGATAAAATATTCTCGTAATGAATGGATTTGCTTTTAAGTTTATGCTTACAGCTAAGAATTAAGATTTTGTAAAGAATTGACTGCACCGAACCATTATAATAAAATATAGCGGTGTAGCGTCCCTTTTAAATAAAAATATACTGTTCTTATCCCCAATAACAATATAGCCATGGCTGTACTATTTTTACATTTGTGAAAATATATAAATTCAACGTTTAGTCATTGACGACGTATTACAACGTTGTGTGTCAATGGTAACGTTATGCGGCGTGTTCTCCAGCCTCCCGGTTCCACCGGCGGCGCGGCGTTGTTCCGGCCGCCAGGTCGGTGGCGGTAGGTTTCCCCGTAATCAGGATAGCGCCGCCACCGGTCCACCGTTCAATGGTTTTTGTTAATGGTGGGGAGTCCGATCAATCTAAAAGCTCATGCGTGTTGCGCACGTCAAGACGGGCTTGAATCGGGAGCAGCGCCGGCAGCCGGCGGCTTTTTTTGTATTGCTCCACAGCCGCCAGCCGCTCGCAAACCGACAGCGCGCACTCTGGCCGCCGTCGCCGAGTTTAATTTCATTGAGCTCGGGAGTTTTTCGCACATAGGTAATATTACTATCGCTCAACATTTTTATCGACAACGAAGTTACGCTTGACTAAAAAACATTTTGTGCACGATACGCCTATGTTGATATTGTTAAAGTTGGTGACATGTGCAATATGCATGCGGTCAACAAAGTTGATTTGTAATATGGTATAATTTTTGTAAACGAATATTAAATATAATGAATGGGTAGTAAAAACTATAAACAACAAAAGCCAGCATAGTGGGTGGGAGAGAGGGGGGGGGACACAACATATTATTAGGGTCGGAGAGGTCATAAGTCTTCAGAACTATTAGAGAACATCTGAGAGTGATATAATTACTTTAAAATAAACGCTTCGATGCAAAACTGTAGATATGGTCCAAAATATTAAATATAAATAGCTTTATAGACATTAAATGTGTTCATAATATTGTGTTATTTAATTTATTCCCTCAATAATAACCGTGACTACAATTTTTTTTTTTTTGCTTTTTTTTAATGGTAACGTATGTGCAGTTGTTTTTCATAGAAAATATACAAGTATAAATTTCAAAACACAGTACAAAGAACACGTGTTATTGTTAATAGAAATCACTTAAAAAAAAATTCATACCAAATTATAAAATTTTGCGAAACGTGTAGTGGAAACGTAGTAATATTAGGTATATATTAACAATATTAACCTTTATTATAATATTATAATATTAACCTTGTATTAAATTAAAAAATATGTATTTAAAGACAAATTGACGGCGAGAATTGTTGTTCTTATGTTGAAAGAAATTTAATTATCAAGGAATATTATGGGATTACAAATTGTATTTCTTATTTAGACTTTTGTCTATTAATGAGCTAAATGTTTCCATCGAATTCATATATTTTATTTAATAATTTATCACTGCCAATTGCGAAATAATTCCTTTTTTTTAATAAATTTGGTTGTTAAACCTAATATAATATTTGCTTTGTTTATAATATAAAAAATAATAATATCTAGTTTTAAAACATCATATTTCAATATTTGGCAAAAATAGTGGACCACTATAAACATGTAAATAAAATCACTTTTTGTATTATTATTTAAAAAAACGATGCTGCCACGACAAAAATTAAAGACGATTTTTGTAAGAAATTTAACACGTCCAACTTATAAAAAGTAAAAAAAAACGTAAAGTTCAATTCTCAAAGTATCAATAAGTGACACTCATACCGACAGGTTGGTATACTATTTACCATTCTAATACATAAATCACAAGTAACAAGTTTACTTTGCTTAAATATAATATTGAAAGGGGGGGGGGCGGCGGCGGGGTCGTCCATCGCCATATCACCCAGATAAGCCACTGTTTGGAAATATTATCAAAAAAAAAGACTTATGGACGAAATTGTGCGGTTTCTCCGACTAACCACATCGTGATAATTATTTTGATCGAGTAAATTCGAGTCGGTACACAGTATCCGTCGTGTGTACACGGATCGCAGAGCGCCCTTAACCGGGACGGGGAAGAGGGGGTGAGAAAAGGAGATGGCGTGAGCATGATCGGCGCGACGGAAACCTCTCCTAAAGCCCTAGCGTGTTGCGATGGAACTTTATGTCCTAGCGCGTCAGGCAGTCAGTACGGTGTTGGGCGTGGTTCGCAGTGGAATGAATGCAGCGTACAAACGATAATAGTAATAGTATTAATATTTAACGTTTCCTGGCTTTCGACATTTTCTTTGGGATACATTTTATTGTTTCGCCGTTGTTGTTGTCGATTGCTCGCACATCGTACATTCCATCAAGTAAACCGCGTTGCCGTATAATTTGTATCTTTCATTTTGATATTCACTTCGGCCCCATAATGCTAAACGCGGTTGGCGACGCGTTACCGGCACCCACGAGATAAGAAGCTAGCTGTCCGAGGATTACTGTTTTTTTTGCGATGGCTTCACTTTTGTCCTGCGACCGATAATACAAAAAGCCCCAGCGAATATCCGCTTCCAATCGCCGCCCCCACGTTCGACGGTTACATTCATGTCTTGACCTTAAAACGTTTGGCGTAATCCTGAGGTGAGTGATGGAATCTATATGCATCTATCCATATATTATAGTTGTGTTTCAAACGTAGTGTGTAGACTGGTAACGCTATAGTCGAGTGTATTATTACAGTGAAACCTTTACCCCTCGATAATGGAGATACGCGTGTCTCGATACCAGACGCCGGATATCCCTCAATAGCGGACACGCATTTGAATTACCCACCGGGTTTCCGTTGTAGAAAGGTTTCGCTGTATTGTACACTTGTATATTATACTGTTTTACATATTGCTTTAATGTACTGTAGTTCACAAACAGAGTCGCCAAAAAAAACAACCTTCGTTCAAGCCAAGCAAATTTTTGGTATTTAAACCCAAAAATATGGGTTTATCAAGTTTATATGCAACTTAACTGGGATAGACTTTTACCCCGGGTTGTTGCTAACTGATAGTTAAACGATATATTGATCAGTGTAGGACAGAACAACGCGGTAATTTAAATAAAAACAGTTCTGTATTGTAATTAAAAAAAATTAACTGTGTTAAATATAATTTTTAACTAAATCGGTTAAAAAAATTACTGAAATGGCTTAGAACTGCAAAACGTTTTTAGTTTTTACTCGATTTGCAATAATAGATTGGACGGTTGATAGTTTTTTTTATTGAACTTAGTTTAAACTTTAACGATGCGGACCTCTTGTAACAATATTCTAATAGTCAATTTTGTTATTGTAGTCTTTATTCTGGTATAATATCCACCAATAACTCCTCACGCTAAATAAGGGGAAATAAAGCTATAGTTTTTGGCTAAAGATAACACACAATTATTTTATATCACAATTATGTATAATATTAATATTAAGATATTGTTTCATACAAGTCAATGTCATAATATTAACAAATGAAAATATTATTCTATGCATTATTTTCTACTACATTTTACTATAGAATAGTATTTAAAAATGTTCGTATGTAGTTTGGTTAAAAATAATAGTTTCTTCATCTCCGTAAGAGGTAATTTTACAAGCGGGTCGGTTATTCTAGTCCTTATCTTTCCACTCCTTTTTCCTTTTTTCCACTTCTACCTTCTATGATGAAATCCTCGCCTACTTTCCTTGTCGTTTCATTCCTATGTCATCTCGGTGTTTTATACCTTCTATATTACTTTATTGTCTATCCTTCTCACTATGTATCCATTTCTGACGTATCCTCTGCCGTTGATTAAAAACCATATCTTGTATACCTACTCATTTTGTAATTCTATTCAATTTCCTTATAACACACATCTTTATGTATATTTACTATATATATGTTGTATATGTTCAATCTAATTTCCGCTACTTTTATTCTTCAAATATTTATGTTTAAATTATATTTGTTCGTATATATTATTAAAAATATTATAAAATGTTGTGTAGTTTAGGCAATTTAAACATTTTTTCCATTCTCTAAAATGTTTCAACATTTGATTTGTATAGAACGGCTATTGACACTTGATTGTTTTAAGGATTCATTATTTACAAAAAAGAGATGGCAAATAGTACAAAGTTGACAGATAGATTCATCATTATTTACGGTCTTTGTAAAATTTCCCATATTTGAAATAATGTTTCGACTTTTCATTGCGTCGTCACGATATGTTATAGCGATAGTTATTGTTCGTCGAATTGTGTATAATATCTATTAATCAACATGGCATATATAATGTACAATTTAATTCGACAACACTGATCTATATTTTGTCATGCATTATTGTAGCATATTTCAACGAATATCGTTTCCGATGAATACGTCGTTAAATGAAAAATCGACACAATAGTCTCGGTTTGAGGCAAATGTTTAAATACGAGTTGAATAATATTTTGTTCTCTGCTTATGCGGTAATCTCAACAATCAATACATTTCGATTTATAACTATAATATTAAAATATCAGAGCAATAACCTTAGTTGTAAAAAGAAATCCCGACCCAGTTAAGTTTGTACGAGTATGTATGTAAAAAGTTGTATTGTTCTAATTTCTATCCGTCTATTATACCATTACCCAATAGAACCATTTTGGGTAAATGCTAAAGTTTTGCAAGGTTTAAGCAAAAAAACAAACCCCGCTGGGTTTTCTGGGTTTGGGGTTTTTCTACCAACTCTAGATAGATTGTACATTGTAGACAATATGTAAAATGTATATATTATACTGTGCCTCTTACTCTCTTCTTGGGGTATGATGTATCGGTAAAAAGTAGAGAGCGTGGAAAACGCCGGTCATGAGTTTCGCTTTAAAGAGAAGATAGAAAAACTGTCATATTATACGTCCAACTGCCACAAAACAAATTTCTTCTTTAGTTAATCCTAGATTTCCCTAGAGTTCTGACAGCGCTGTATTATAGATTTCACTAAAAAAATTAACCATAGCAACTGGAATATTAAAGTGTTTTGAGACTAAAGAGTTGGCGAAATAAAACCCAAATCCAAAAATACCTAGTTGGTTTTTGTTTTGTTTGGTTGGAGCCGATCAAATGTTTGGTTCTTACCAAAAAAAACCGGGGTATCGGCAACTCAGCTCTATATTGAGCACTAAATAGATGTTTTCAGACATATCTGGTCGTTTGGTAACACATTTTGTGTTATCATTTATCTACACACTCTTTGCATTTCGGTCGTCCTCGTCTCGTTTGACGACAGTATAGGTGCTGTTGGTGTCATCATTCATTGTTGGTGTCAAAGGTGTTGTCGAACGGGGGAACTATGTCGCTGGCGTAGGCGCCCGGAGAGAACGGCGGTCGCCAAGGCAACACCCGCGCCCCACCAGTATCGTTGACCTTTGGCGTGCGTCTTTTCTGCTTGATATTGTGAAAAGGAAGAGATGAGACCATTGACCACTGTATTATGTATACAAGATAGTGTACAAGATATACAACGAACCACCGCCGTGCTGGTATTACGTTGGTAACTGATGCAAAAGTGCTATATTATGTAAAGGCATTCATCGTGTAACACACACTGGCGTTAAATAATATTTTAGTACCGCGTACGTTGTCTGGTTTTCAATTTAACATTCAATTCGACACGCTAACAGTATAGTAATATAATATATTAAAAAAACCAACGTTAATATATTATTATACGGCTATATAATAATAGTCAGTCATGCTCGGACCTAAAAGTTAAATTAAGGAGCTTTGGCCTATAGTTGAAAAAAATTAAACCCATTTTTTTTTTTGTAAAGCCCCCCTCAAATATTTGGTATTTACCCAAAAATATGGGTTTGCAGTTGACTACTAGGTCAGGGGCTCATTTACTGCCAATTCTCTTAAAGTAAATAACCGTCATCGGCCATCGATAAATTATTTCAACAGATATGACTTAAAATAAAATGGATTTTTATTTTTCTATAACGAAAAACAACACGGCGAATATTGGGAACGTTTTCGAATTTTAAAAACTCTTCAAGCTTCCACAAATGTTGGGGAAAATAATCTCCCCTAAAACCTTCCCTCTGTGCGTCGATATCATATTTTTTATTTTTTAAATATTCAATTACAGTACTAGAACCACAAGATAATTATTTTTACTAGTCTGGCTCAGATTATCCTAGCCCTCCCGCAATATAGTAATTTAAAGATCATGTTAGTAACTAGCCCACAGATTTGTAAGTCAGTTTATATGTTCGTGATAACAGTATTAAAACAATAGACTTAAGTATTCCATGTAAAATTAACATCACATTTAGACCATGTCTCAAATTCTCAATATTTATTCAAAATACTTAAAAAAGTGTAATATTTTTTTTTTGTGCATTTGGCATAATTTTATTTTTAAAGTAGGTATGCGAATGATAAATAACAGTAGAACTGTCCCATAATTTGGCCTGAAGCACTTAGAAATAGAGATAGAGAAAAGAGATAGTTTTTTAATGATAGTATAACAATTAGTACAAATGTAAAATTTAGTTTGCGACCATTTATTTTTAAAATGTTGTCGGTAGTTTATTATATAGTTATTATAATATTTTTGAATTTTCAAACAATAAATTTACCTTTTTATCCACCTCCAATAGTTTCGAAAACTATTAAAAAATTCACTTTCTTTTATGTGTAGTTTGATGATAGCATAAACGACGAGATATACTTTATTTTGTTTTATTTTGATAGTATGACAAGGGAAACGTTTATAACATTATGATACTAATATACTGCGAAATTTGAATTATAATTTAAAATTATCCACAATAAAATGTTACTATCATAACACTGTAAAACACGATTTTGGAACAGTAACCTCCAATGTTGTTAACAATTTACAAAACAAAAATCTTGTTTTCCAACTTTACATTGTGTTTAAAAAATACTACAATTTTTACAATAATTATTCTGAGTTCAGCAAATAAAATAAAATAAAAACCACATTTGAAATAACTTTTAGTACATTTTCAAATGTACAGAACACTTTGGAAATACCATAAAACGTTGTTTTTACATTTTGGAGGTGATATAAAAAACATTAGACTTAATAGAAAAATTCTGAAACCCGATTCGGATTATAAAGTATTTTGGTCTTGTTCTAGAAAGAAAATCAAATTTTGTTGTACTGTATAATATAAACAATGTATTTTATTTATTTGGAATACTTGAATTACGTTTAAAAAGTTGTAGTTGAAAGAAGAAAATAAATACACAGTTTCAAAACGGAAATCTCTCTTATCTAGTTAAATGGTTCATTGGTTTTTACTCAAAAATTGTGTAATATCTTATATATCTATACCATACCAGAATAGGTTACATACCTATTCTGGTATGGTATGCAGACGTTCGTTAACATTATAATTTATTATTATTTTGTATGTATACATTATTTACTTTTTTTTTGACAATTTGTTTCACATAAATGTCAGTTAGGTTTTGGTTTTTTGGCGCTTAATGGGTTCTCAACAAAATAACCATTTTTTTTTTTTTTTTTGAGGCTTATGTTGTTTAATATATCTATATTATAATATACTGTGCATGGGACACATGGAAGAAATGCCGGCCGGCAAACTGAGCATATTATACAGAACACGCGACTCGATGTTTCGTGTTATCGATCGGCGGTCGCACGCTTGCGCCGTACCTCCAACTCCAGAATGCGTGCGTTAATCATGCACCGCGGCTTACACTTTCGCCTCCCCCTCGTTTTTATTACCATGTGTACATAATATTTTATATAATATACGTAGAAATGTATACTATGTGCTGTTTTTTTCGTAGTGTTTAATATTATAAATATCCTCGTTCGGTCCCGTGACATCAAATTAGATACAGGGTGATTTTTGTACTGTCCACAGAACACTAGTATACTTTAGTTAAACAATGTTTCTAAAATACTGTATTATTGATACGGGTGAATGTGTATTAAATGTCTACAAAATACATGATATAATATACGCACTTTTATTACAAATATAAAAGTATCAAAATAATATGGTCTATATTTTTTTTAAGACTTTAAAAAAAATACATACCTCTGTTTTTTTTAAATTTTAAGATTTATTGTAGTAAAAACCGGTCTTTTATTTATAAAATCATAAAAATGGCACAACATTGACATTAAATGTGTTAACAACAACAACAAAAAAAAAAAAATAATGCTACATTTAAGTTAAGTTGAATACCAAATTTGTGTTACTTATGACACTAATTTCTTGTTTTCATTGCATAACAAGTCACAAATTCTTCTCACTCCAAGTCTACCACTTACAATGCTAATAACGGCTATTAAATAACTTAGTGTAATAGAGCTTGCAATACGTTGAATATTCTAAAATAGTATTATCTATCGAAAACTTAATTATTGAAATATGAGTTGCTATTTGAAAACTAAAAGTAGGTGTCGAGTATTTGTGGAGAGGAGTGCAAAACATATTATGGAGTAATATGGTATTTTCTACACAGAAAAGTTATTCAACATTTTGTTGAAGTAGGTAGTTTTTGAGTAAAAATACCCTGTATGTATGCACACATAATAATGTAATATTTTTTGATTATTATTTTAATGTACCTTCGGTCTTCGCAGTGACTTGGGTTTCATGACTATATAGTACGTGTGCACGAATCGTCCACAGGGATATATTGCTTACCGCAGAGTCATATTACCATGTAATACTATTAACATTTGGGACACTTGGGAATTGGCAAGAATATAATATTGTAAAACATCCACATTATATCATAATATTATACACAACAAAAATGTTATATATGGTCTCTGGTGACTACGTTTTTTTGTCCATTAAAAATCAAAATTCGTGCGTGATTAAATGTCAAACATTTTTTTTGCTAACTATGTAATTAAGAGACAAATATTTTGATATATAATGTATACAATTGTTATAACTTATAATTCTATTAGTTGTTATAGTCTCTATTCATGCCACTAAAGACTAGTTTTATAGTTAAAACTTTTGAGAAGAGGGTATGTGTTGTGTTTGTATTGGTGGTTATTTTACTACGATTGTTAAAAAAATCTATAACATAGATATTTTATTTCATAGCGACAGTATTAAAAGGTTGTATGTACCTTAGGTTACATACTCGATTACAATTAGAGCCAAAATTACATACTATATTATGTTCTATAGTGCATACAAATGATTAATAATAACACAAAATGCAGCGTATAAACTTGAAAGCACAAACATATAACTATTTCTAAGGTTATTTTCTAAAGTATTTTTCTTGAAAATTAGTTATACTATTGTTGTATAATATATTACTATGACATTAGTAATGGTATTGAACAGTAATTGACTACGCAGTAACGATTGTGTGAATTGAAATTGTGCATTTTACCTAACGAACCAAACGAGTTGTATTGTTTTTTTTTTGAAATCAAAAAGGGTTTTTTTTTAACTTATTTGGAAAGCGAGTAACTTTTTTAAGTTTTGACATTCACATGTCTATAAGTAAAATTCCTATTAAAAACCAGACGTGGAATGATGAACTCGTTTGTAATTGACGTCACGTATGCACGCTGTGTCCCCTCTCTGACCCATTAACATGTCTGCTGGAATGTATTCATAGACCTTATGGACTATTGGCGGAAGTTAATTTTGCTTGCAGTTAGCGTTTCCCTTCCTCTTATTTCAATTGCTAGTGATAATAATAATATTATATTAAAAAATCACATTGGTTCTCAAACGTTATAAACGCAGAGAAATTCAGTAAAAATAGACCTATACAGCTGCTGTCTATTGACATTATTGGTAGATTTTTGTCCGCTAGTAATAACTAGCACGTCCAATAACATTTCCCCGTTTATGTTATGTTTTATTCCATTTTTTATTTCATAAGTGTAAAACGGTCTATGTATGACAAATAATATAGAATCATCTTATTTTTTTAAAAACGTTATCGTCGTTGTTTACTACTCAACATTAGGCCAGCAGTCAATTATATTACATTTTTAGATAGACAATAATAATAATAATAGCAACATGTTTTTTGTTTTCAGCATTTGTGTCGGTTGAGACCGAGGTGGAGGTCCTAGCCTTACACAATGAATGAATTGGACTCATTGAGACAAGAGGCTGAAACGCTAAAAAATGCCATACGAGTAAGTACGATCTATTATTTTTCCACGGTTCTATTCTATATGATGTCGTATTATATATGCCTAAAACTGAAGAATTGCTTATTATACCTACTATTATTATTATTATTATATTTAGTATTTGTTAGCTCGTGTGGTACCACAGAGCATAACAATACGGTTTCTCATTTAAAATGCATGCACGTGTGTAAAATCTTATCTTATCTTCTACTATTCTACATATTATACAACAAATTGTTGTACAGTCTAAACAATAGCTCTGGAAATATATTTTATAATTTGTATACTTAGTAAGTAGTTAGTACTTATCGGTAAACACTATACATTATTTCCAATAATATTTTATTACAATATTATACAATCTTCCATAATAATTATTAACTTTTTGTTTTGTCAGTAATCAGTTGGACAGAGTATAACGAATAACATATTTGAAAATAAATCGAATAACGTGTTGTTGAAATTAAAAATATATACATTTTAATTGATAATTTTCCAATAATATTATACACATTTTGTTTTTAACTGCTTCTATAAAACATAACTACTTAACTTAAATCGGTAAAATTACAAATAATATTAAATGTACTCGAAAAAACACAAAATTCATTTTATTACCTATAACAATATTTATTCAAACAAATGCAATTCGAATAATCTATTATTTTTGCTTATTTAGTTCAAAAACTATTCGAATGATGTCCAACTCCAGTAGTTTTTTAGCCCACTTAAAAAAATATGTTACTTGCGGTTTTTTTTACTAAAAAGTGACAATGGTCCTTCTTGACCAAAATAAAAAAAAATACCAATACGATAGTATTGGGTGTTATATTTTGATACACTTTATTTGAATTTTGAATGTTTTTTGTAATGGTTCAATTTATAACAGTCTCAATTGAAAGATCAGATTTGCCTTTCATGTTTTTTTTCCTGAATCTATTTCCTAACCGGTCGGATTTTTTTTTTATTCAGCCCGAGCCGGTTCAGGACAGCCTTCTCTTGATCCTTACATTGTATTAAAGGATTTATTTGTTTTGCATGGATCTAGATAAAACTGCTTTACTTTTTTAATAAAAATAAATTTAGTCTAAACACAATTTTGTGTTAACATTTTTTGGGTTTTATTGCCAACTTTCGAGTGTAAAGGTACTAACAACAAGGTACTAAAATTCAGGTTTTATAATAATAATCGTTAAACATTGTAACTCATTTTATTGTTGTTCTACAATAACATGTAAGACTGTATTAAAATTAGACGGACTTGAATGGAGGTTTTGATTTGGATGTTATAATGTATTTTTTTAAATTAAATACTTATATAAGACTATGACGTATCATTATTTTTCTAAAGATTTTCGATGAACAATAATATTCTTCTTGTTAAATTATATTTAAACGTTTTGACACGTGTGGTAGGCAGTGTGTTTGTTGGCCGGAGATCTTTTAAAAAGTATTTTGGTCATGCCATTGGCTTCGTGCGGTAGTTACTATAAAAATAATTTCGATTAATGTTAAGTTTAAGATATACGTCCTTCGGTCAAATAGTATACGGGAATGATCAGAACTGTCGATTTTACTTACTCTATGATGACGCCACGTCGCATCATAGTAAAAACTCGAAAACCCTTTTATTATTATATTTTTTACAATCTTACACCGAGCGTGTTGTAAAATGAACTACTCTAAAAACAATGCGGCGTATAAACAAATCAACGACTTTTATATGTGGCAATATTTGTGTTTAATGAGTAATCATAATAATGATGTCACAGAGATAACAATTTTTTTCAACACATTTCCGTTTTTTTTCCTACTTTAGACCGCTTGAAGAAGATTGATTTTCGATAAAACTGTTTATTGATTTGATGAGTAGTACTTTTGTCCGTCTTTAGTTTGCGTACTTTTTACAAATAAATGGTAGTTAAGTTTGGCCAGTCATATGCTTTCTTAACATCTTTCTTTCAAGTCCATTACAATATTTGTAATGCTCGCGTGATTCTTTTTCGATTTTTGCCCCTCTGACTGTTTATTAACATTGACTCTGTTTATAACATTCATCAATTCGCTAGAAACAGTATAAATAACTCGCACACAACAAAATTATTATCTGCCGAAGCTTTTGTATTCGTAGCACATATTATTATGTATATACATATTTACGTGTTGCGCGCACGTCAGGGTTCTTGTTCCCTCGTTTGTCTTCACCTCCGTCGTCAGGGTTTGTATATAAGTGCGCACAAGTCGTCCCCTCACATATTATATCATATACATCATATTATATCCACGCATAGTGAGCGAGTAAGATAGTGGCGGAAATGTAGAGAGCACTTGCAGGAGATAAATTTAAGGGTTTACATATTATGGACTAAAATACAAAACAAAACCTTGAGATATTTATTATCACACCATAATATATTGCAGTTTATACATTTTGGCCATAATGTACTCGCAACATTTTTCGAATTATGACATGGGATTTATTTTAATTTTATGTAAATGTACATTTTGTTGTGTGTTTACACTGGACAGGGAAGAGGCTGTCTACGGGAGCCTACGTTTCTCTGGGTTACTCCCTTCCGCCATTCGCTCTTGCCATCGTCGCACGACAAGGACAGCGAACGAGTTGCCCGCCGGATAGCCAATTGAAGAGCTGCGACCGTGACGCTAAAGCCGGCCGGCCGGCAGTGCCGTTTCCACTCTCCTCTCGGCCGGCCGCGTCGGCGGGTGGGTTTGTCGTCCCTTTCGCTTCACCGCGGGCCGCCCCGTGCGCGTTCGGGGTTCCACGTCACCGTCGTCGTTGCACGCCGGCCGCCACCGCCGCTCCCGACCATCTCGCGCGCACCCGTTCACCGATCAATATGGCCGGTCGCCGTTGACGCGCGCGGTTGCGCCGCCTTCGTTCGGCTTGCCACGAAGGATCGTTCACACCGGCTAATAATTTCGCTCACCGTTTGCTATGTGTGGGGGCCCTACGCGCGTTCCCAAACGCCACAGTTGTGTTGTGCTTATATTATGTACCCGCTGCATAATACTGTAACGGACCTACTTGTCTAGGTGAAATATGACCGTTACAATACTAATACTATTATTTTCGTTGGGCGTTTTACCGCCGAAACTTGCGTTGCACTCAACAATGTTTTCGTTCTATTCCGTTCCGATTTTGCTTAATAAGTTTTCAAATTTCAGCAGTTGACAAAAAAAAAAAAAGCGAAACCCAAAAAATATTTGGCGTTTACCCAATAATATGGGTTTTATTTGGTTACCTAAAATATAACTTAGCCAAGACATCATGTTTTCTGAAAAAAAAAGACTAGTGTTTTTTCATCTCGCCAGTCATTAAGGAGTTTGGTAGAAGCATATAACTTGTAACTGTTTATAACACGTACTTACTTGGTTTGAAAACGGTTAAATATTAGCTCAAATAGGTGTAAGGATAATGCTCGTGAGGCCAAAACTCGGCAATAAAATCCGATTTTATAAAAACAATATATAGTCTCCCCCCCCCCAAAAAAAAATGTATGTTGTTCGCGCCTATGTTGTGTATTTTATAGACTTTACGTTATAAGGTTTAATGTTCAAACTAATTTTTTTGTCAAATTAAAATTAGGATTTAACAAGATTTCAGTAATTTGTTAGTATTGAGTATTGGCTATTTTATTATCATATTAAGCCACGTGAGAAAACAAATTGAGACTTAATAAAAGTTTCAACAGTATTATTGTTAATGTAGTCTCTTTTTCATGTCGAAATTATAATTTTGTTTTTAAATATGGTTATGACTTAAATTGAAATCGTCACGGAAACGCCCTTTCGTTAATTTGTTGGAACGTTAGCTTCTAAACTTAACCCAATTCGTTGTAACGAATTGTTATTTAAAATAATTTATTCATTAGTTATATTACATTGTTTATTTCGAAAAACTATTTACTCACAATTTACGTTATTGTTTATTATCTCTAGGAATTAATTGTTATTTTATTTTTAAAGTTATTTAAAATTATTTATAAAAAGTACTAAAAGGAAGGATAAGCTCTGACTTTTTTTTGACAAATCTATTTTTTATTTTAAATATTAAGTATCTATTAAGTTGACATTAAATCGTCTGTGCAATGAGACATTTTTCTTTTATTGGCTTACTATTTAAATGATTTACGAATGTTCGTCTGTTTTTTTTTACCGTGCGATCTTAAATAATTATTTACTTGTACCACGAAAAAAAAAGCATAATTGAAACTTCAACTTACACAATCGGTTACCGACATTAATGACTGAATGAATTCAGGTTAAAGAAGTTCATTATTTTTTTGTTTATTTTGGCTTCGGTGCGTAGCTGAGAAGTCATTGTTTTTACAATGATGTGTTTTTATTTATTTTTTGTGTCTGGACCCACGATATTTTTTAAACCGCTGCACCTATTTCTTTGTGTTGCAATTCTATAAATCGGAAATCGCACATGAAAGGTACATTATTGAGCCAATAATTTAAAAAGTTCACCCTTTCTTCCTCCCCTTCAAAATCGAGAAAAACACCCCAAAAATGTACATATTCAGTACTACGCACTACATTATTCTCATTAAGTACAATGCTTTTTTTTATCGATATTTGTATTTCTACCGTTATAGATTCGCATCGAAGCGTTTGTATAAAAGTTATTTTATCACATTCGGTTGTAATAATTAATTTATACATGTAACCTCCCCCCCCCAATACTATCTATCTTCACTATGCCTCGACCCTACTGTACTGACGTTTTTTTTATTTATCACTTATAATTTAATTAGTAAATCATTTTTTACAACAAGTAAATTAGAGCTATCAAGAGAACTATATTTGGTTATAAAGTATATATTTTAAGCACCACAATTACCTATTCTGGAAATAATATTTTTGTTCGTTGTTAATAAAAAGTTACTATATTACTACTTAATACTTTTTTCTCTCGTCCTAATTGGTTAAATAACAAATGTCTGAACAGTATAACTCTTTACCAGGTACCTACTGCAGTAGGTTTTTTACTGCGGATGGCCAACGCTTTTTAAAGTTTTCATTTAAAAGAATTTTCTGTTGCAGATATTTCGATAAAGAAAACTTTTTTACATAATGTATAATGATTGAATATATATATATATAAATGATATGAATACTGAGAAATCTTTGTTATCGGGTTTCATCTACTAACTTTTTATATTTTTTTTTGCTGATAATTATTTGTTAGTACAATTTTATTCGTTTCTTTTGAAATTTAAAAAAACCATCCAGTTCAAACAATGTAATATAAAAATTACTATTACTTTCTGTCTGAATAATTTGTTTAGAATTTTATATTAAACAGTTTCGTGAAAATTAAATTAGTAAAACAATTTCAAAGGAGGCGAATTAAAAATAAAATATTGATGTCATTAGAGTTGTCTTAACAGGAAATAATTGTACACTTAGTTAAGAAAAATCACAAAAATTAAATTTGGCTATTATTAGTTTATCTGTTGGAGACTCTAGTCTCTTGTTGATTATTAAAAGATAACACTGACCCATTAAGTATATTTGTTAAAAACATACTTAAAAATACATTTTAGTTTAGTATCCACAAATTAATTACATCAGTAGGTGGTTTTACTTTTTTCCTTAGCTTATAAATTTGTAATTTATATTTAGTTTTACTTTAGCCAATTTTATTTTGCAATCCTAAACTGATATAATTAACAAGGTGTTAGCATTTAAAATATGATTTTAGTTGAATTTTGACACATAAAAACTTGAATGTATTTTTAGGATGCAAGAAAAGCAGCTTGCGACACAAGCTTGTCACAAGCCACTACCAGCATGGAACCGGTCGGCCGAATACAAATGCGAACGAGGCGCACACTCCGTGGACATCTTGCCAAAATATATGCCATGCACTGGGGATCTGACTCTAGGTAAATGAAATCGCCCTAAAATAAAGTTAAAATTGTGTTTTATTTAACATTGTGTTTTTGTTAATATTTTCAGAAACTTAGTATCAGCCTCACAAGACGGCAAGCTCATTGTATGGGACAGTTATACGACAAATAAAGTGCACGCCATACCTCTTAGGTCGAGTTGGGTGATGACGTGTGCTTACGCCCCATCAGGAAGTTTTGTTGCTTGTGGTGGCTTAGATAACATATGTTCAATTTATAGGTACGTTTTAATGAACGATTAATAAATTACCGTCCGGCGAGATTTTGACAAATTCCAATAACAAATGTTGTGTTTTAGTTTAAAAACAAGAGAAGGTAATGTTAGAGTAAGCCGAGAACTGCCAGGGCACACAGGTTACTTATCATGTTGTAGATTCCTCGACGACAACCAAATCGTCACCAGTTCCGGAGATATGTCGTGGTATGAACATGATTATTTTTTAACAATAATTGATCAATGAGAACTGTTAATTCATTTAAAACTCGTTTGGAAATTTAGTGCATTATGGGACATTGAAACCGGCCAACAGTGTTCATCGTTCATCGGACACACTGGCGACGTCATGTCACTCTCAATGTCACCAGATATGAGAACATTCGTATCAGGAGCTTGTGACGCTTCAGCTAAAGTATGATATTGCCGAGAGAAATGTTATTATTCTATTCATATAATTTTGAACATTGTAATTTTCAGTTGTGGGACGTTCGAGATGGAACATGCAAACAAACGTTCCCCGGACACGAATCTGATATCAATGCCGTTACAGTAAATATATATATATACTTATTTATTAAAAATTATTCAATTTTCAGATCTCGCTCTAGCTTTATATTTAAAGTATTTATAGGTAGTAGTTAGTAATTATTTTTTATAATTTTTTTTTAGTTTTTCCCGAATGGTTATGCTTTTGCTACTGGCTCAGACGATGCTACCTGTCGTTTGTTCGACATACGGTCCGATCAAGAGTTGGCCATGTACTCACACGACAACATTATATGCGGTATAACGTCTGTGTCGTTTTCAAAATCGGGACGTTTATTGTTGGCCGGTTATGATGATTTTAACTGCAACGTTTGGGATTCCATGAAAGCTGAACGAGCTGGTCAGTATAATTATGTCTTAATAACTGTATATTTACAAATAGTAATAATTATATAGGTATGTCAACGTTTTTTATTACAAGTTTCATTGTGATTTTTCAATGGGTAATTTTGTAACATACCCTCCGTAAATTTCCAATTGAAATTCTTTCTTACTGGATAACCAACCAATCTAAACAAGATATGTATAAATTAGTAATACATTAATTAAAATGCAAAAACTCGTAACATACCTCTTTCTGTGTTGTAATGGGAAATGGTAAAACTGTTCTAGTGTCCGTTTCAACGTTACCTTTCCTCATAACAGCTTTTTTTTTTATTGCCTCGAGTTTCTGATTTCGTATACTATCGAGTATATTTTTTAAAAGACATTGTTAATTACTTAAATTATCATTTTTTACTCACTTGCATTCCTCTAATATCCATCCCCACTTTACTGGCCATTCGTCAAAAGCTTTCTTTTCCTGTGTGCATCGGCTTCTAAAATTTTCATCTGCGCTTACTGATACATTTGGTCTAGCCATTTTTATAATAACATCCTGTGTTTAAACTACAAATATTTTTAATAGTTGTTTGTTTACACTTCCTGGAAACTAAGCAATAATATATTGTGTGTATAAAATTATTTGGTTCTGGATAATTAAAATTTCACGATTTTTAAGTGTAATTTATAATTGTATTATTAATCTTTTTAGTTGACGTAACAATTTTTTTAAAAATTCAAAATTATCATAATTAAAAAAAAAAAATATTGCAAACCTCTGTAAAAACAATAGCCTCTCTCAGCTCCACATCGAAGCTAAAATCGTTAGTGTCATTCAATTATTTGTTTGATTTTTTTGTTAAAAATAAAAAAAACCAACATTTTGTTGATAAGAACATTTTTATATTATATAAATTATCGTAAAAATTTGGTAGCATTTATTAACAGCATCTCTATTTAATTAGTTACATTAAATCCCGCTATAATAAATTCTTTAATTTTAAACAAGCTAAATTATAATAATTTGCTGTCTCCCTTTTTTTTTTACATAATACATTTTAATTGTTAAGTAATAATTAAGTTTTTTTTATAAATCGCCAAAGGCAATTTTGATTTCAAAAATTTAAAAATCGTTATAAATAAAAATTAAAAGAGTACATTGGAGTTAATATTTATATACAAAACGTTGAGGTTCTACTTCCAGCCCCACAAATTAACAAAAATAACTTTTATTTTGTATTGTGTATAATTTGTAATAGCAAGAAACCGCTATTGACTTGGTATATAAATAACGTTGTAGTATAATTTTTAATAATTTAAATTGATCAAACTACGTTATTTTCAGGTATTTTGGCTGGCCACGATAACCGCGTCAGCTGCTTGGGTGTTACCGAAGACGGTATGGCTGTGGCTACAGGTTCTTGGGACAGCTTCTTGCGTATTTGGAACTGAGCCGGCGCCCTGATGAGACCTAGGAAATCAGCGCCAGACGGTCCCTAAATTTTCACAGCAAAACTATACTCAAAAGCTAAAAAAAAATGTAATATTGTTATTACACTTAAAACCTATCTACAAATCCAAAATAATATGTTTAAGGCAGAGTTCAAAATTTGTAATTATTTCCCAACGGGGGACCACTCAAGTAAAAAGTTACTTTTTCTGGTTTTATTAAAAACAACGAGTTATGCATATTCAGGTTACAATAAAACAAAAAAAAACACCCGACTTGAAGGTCTTCCGTTTGTGCATTTCGGGACGAGTGTCCGCCCGCTGTTTAGGTGCTCAAAATAATAATAAAAAACATATTATATACTGTGGCAACACACATAACTGACCTATCTATCAAAACATAGCATTTACAACTTACGATAACAACAAAATTATAATATATATATAAATTAAAATTACGAATATTTATTATTAAGTCGTAAAACTAGAATAGATCAGTATTTAAAATTTTGAAAACGCTAAAAAATATATACATTATTCCTTAAAGGTTTCCATTTTTTTTTTTAACGAGTGTTCATTTAAGTATATGGTAAAAATAAAAATAATCTTATAACGTTACTGTGTAAATATTTAGCTTACTTACGATAATGTGTATAATACTAACATTTAGTTTATAGAATTTAAAAAAAAATTATAATCGGAACCGTGTGCATTTTTTTTTTTTTAACAAATATAAACTATATACATTTATTTTCACTAAAGTATTAAGATTGTCGTCTATAAGGGTATTGGTTTAAAAAAAAAAATAAATCGGGCGCAATTCTAATGACAAGTCAACCACTAAAGGTTATCACGATATTTTTTGTCGTAACGCTTTATCTTGTTTATTATAAATTATTTTAAATGTAAAAACGCGAGGTTGAATATTATTGGAATAAACTTCTTTAAAAAATTGCCATACCTACGACTTTATAACACCACGGACGGCCTTCATGAGGGTTGTTGCTGATTGTACGCAAAACTAATTTTTATAGGTGTCGTTTTTTCTTTTTATTATAACATTATAATTATTATACTAATAATAATAATAATAATAATAATTTTTTTTTGTATTCTAACGCACATATATATACACATTTTTATATTATAATACCAATTTTTTTTAAAGCGTTTATACAAAAACACGCTTGTATTGTTTTGAAAAACTGTCAAGCGTTCATGATTTAGCGTTAATTTCAAACTATTTATAATAGTAATTTCGATATTATTGTAATTTATTTATAATATATATATATATATATATATTACCGCCAAGCGTAGAACTTGATAAAAAACAGTAAGCGATGCCAAAGTACATCGCCGTTTGAACGTCCACCACAAATTTGTAATCGATTAACAGCGAGTCTCTTAAAATAGTTCACCGTTTATTAAAAAAAAAAATTTACTGTATAAATTTCGAAATGTTCAATTTCTAAACGGTTGCTTAAGTATATTTTTTTCTTATACAAAAAAAAAACCTTTTAATTGTAATTCATAATATCATTCCGTCTGTTTTCTAAGAAAACTTACTGCGGAAAAATATACTCGTAAATGAATTTATTTATATTTTTTACAGTGTCAGATTGTTAGAAGTGATTGGCAATATATATATATATATATATATATATATAAAAAAAACATTTTACCTGACTTGTTGCATTACAAAATGTATACAAACAATATCGTTATGGTTAACGTACGCGCTCTGATTTTCACCGTATTATTTTGGCGTTTCATTGTAATTTATGATCGACTAGGAATTATTTAAACTCACTGTGGACGTGGTCAAGTCTTACTCAGAAATATTTTACGCTTACATTAAGTGCGAAAGTCTTGGCGATGATTTTGACTGCAGCGTAATGCGTTGACTGCGGGGTTTAATTATTTGTCAACGCCTGGACAACGATTTCCGGCTGATCTGCCAAAGTCGTATTATAACAATTTGTAAATTTAAAAAAAAAATAATTGAAGCGTAACAAAAGCGTCAAACATACTTTTAATTCGCTAAATATTACTAACAACATTAGTTATATTATGTATTTGTGTTTGTATATGTATACATAACAGCGCTACATAATGTTACATGTTATTGTATATTTTCATTTATAATACAGAAAATAGTGTACAAAATATCAAACCTAAGATAACAACTTTTTTTTTTTGCTTAACCCGAATATTTTTGTAAACATTTTAATACGATCAACGTACTTAGAAAATCTTGTAGATTATCAATAATTATAATTATTTTTATTTTGTGTGTAATTTTTTGATTTTTTTTTTTTAGTGTGTGTTGCTGAACGTTTATGAATTTTTTCTATAGTACATATTATATTTTATAATTAAAAAAAAAAATTAAAATTATCAATAGGATTATAAATTTACCATCTAATTATTATCGTGTAAATATAAAATAGTAACGACATACTTTACAATTATTATTATTATAATTATAATTTTATTTCGTTAACAGTTTAATACAATGACGTCACACACTGTGTATTATATATAGGTACTTTAAACTTTTATTACGATTATAAATTATAATTATAAAAAATTACTAATTATAAAATATTACAACTTAGGTCTTATATGTAAAATTAAGGTTATAAAAAATTATCGTTGTACGATAACTATTAAGGAAGTAAGAAAACAATTTTCATAAATATTGCAGTAAAAAGAATATCGCTGTTTGTCGAATTTCTAATCATATTTATTAACTATAAGTTATCATTATTGATTTTTAATTTATTGCCAAAAGGAAAAACACTAAAAACAAAGTAGTTGATAGTGTCTTGTATTTTTGTTATTTTCTTTTTTCTTTTTTTTTTTTACTGCTATTGCGTTTATTTATTATTATTATTATTTTTTTTTTTAAGTAAGTGTAATAAGTTTGTCAAAATAAAATAAATATTTAACATATTCAAAAAAAAAAGTGTGCATAAGTTTTTGAAATATCCTTTTTTTCTGTCCGTTAAAACATTTAGCGTTTGGAGATTTAAGATTGTTAGCAGTAAGGAATGCGGAAAAAACTGCAAAACAAAGACTTACCACCCTTACTCCGGTCCTAAATTTTAAACTTTAAAAAATGTATAAGTGATTATTTAAAACTGGTTATTGACCTATCGACAATTTATTGAGCAATTTATTCACAATTTAAAATGTTAATCAAATATATGTAACCAATTAAATCGCATAAGTTCATAAGGATTTAACATATAAGTGATGGGGCTAAATTGTTAAAAATTATACAAAAATTGGGCAAAGTATAAGTAACTATAAGAGTACGAGTATAATAAAAAATAATTTGAAAAAGTCTAGGATCTTGTATTATATAGACTGGACCTTAGTTACCCATCTCCTGCTGTAGAGGGAATATACTGATCTATATTTAATCATTAGGATAAATATTGAAACATTTGATGGATTTTATCAGTCCCATTAGCTATAAAATGTATAAAAGTTCATAAACAACAACTTATATTTAATTTTAATAATGTATCCTACTTCTTCTTACTTATCTTACTTCTTCTTGTTAGTCTAAAACTTCAATTGCGGAGATAAATTTTAAAACAATTCATAAGTCTGTTTTATAACATAATAGATAAATTTATTGAATTCATAGCATAGTTTAATGAAATTTAGTACAATTTCCCTTATTTGTGTACTTTTGGATTTCGATTTCGCTTTCTATATGTAATCATTTCGTTAGCGCCAATTAACTTTAATATAAAATCATTTTCTCTGTTATAATACGAGATTCTCCATTTGTATGATAGTTCCCACCATTTGTCTGACAATGTAAAAAACAATGGAATTACATTCTCCTTGTTATAACTTATATTTTTAATAATGTGTTCGCCCTATTAACAAATAATACAACAATAAAAAAATGTATAATTTAACTTAAAACCAATCATAAGGACTCATTTAAAATATAAGTAAAGGTACAGCATAGGAACACACCAAAGTTTATGATAAAATGTATACAAATATATCTAAATTAATTTATTTGGCCGCAGCAATATTTTATTAAAGAGCAAAAAATATGAAATATTTAAAGAAACTAATGGTTTTAGTACATTTTTATTATGTCAACTTTTTAGATGAATTCGAATTAGATGTAAGTTATAATCTATAAATAATTAATTTTTTCGCACGAGTTAAGTCAGTGGTGGTAGAAAACGGAAGGGGATGTATGGAAAGCCCTCGCAGTCATAAAAAATACTTAAGTATATTACTTGGAGTTCACAGGTAATCTCTCGGTTATTATAATCTGCACTATAAAAAAATTGAACAGCATTTTCATTGCCACACAAATTAACGACATCGAATGTTCTAACATTAACGCAATCTATGTAATGCTCTTTGCATTTATTCAGCTCAAAATGCATCTGAAAAGACAAAAATATTTTTTTAATTGTATACATTTTTTAAAAGAAACAATTTGCATAAAAACCCAACACAGAGGCATCAAGCCAATCGAGGAGGTTCTGTTGGTGTAAAGTCTTTTATTATGTAAAAATGTTTGATATTAGATATTATAATGCCATATTTTAGTAAAAACTTATGAGGTACTCCGATAAGAATAATTAGTTTCTACGTACACGATATGCCACTACTTTCTTATAGAAATACACGTCAATGTCCAACATCTGTGTATCATAATACTGCTTAATAGCAGCTTCTTTTACTTCTCCATAAGACCGGTTGACGATTATTTCAAAATTAGTAAAACGAGCCTTATGTTGAATGGGTTGTAAGAAAATAGGCACGATATCCTGTTTAGAAAACGATAATTGTTTAAACATCAATTTCGATATTATAAGAACTAAAAGATTACCTTTGACCACGCAGAAAGTTTTAGTAGACATAATAAGTAACAGATTTTAATTATGAAACGCATTTTATTTGTATTTAAGTCGAACGGCGTTATAACTGGTCGACATACGGAATACGTTTGAAAGTATTTTTGACAATAATTATGAATGACAAGTTTTCCTATATTCATCGAATTGTTTGTTTTCGGATATTTGTACAACATAAATTGGTAGCAATCATCATTATATTGTATTCTGAACATTTTATTTGTTTACCTATAGTCTAAATCGTTATCCGTGTTTTATTGTGTGTAGGCAGAGGAAACACGGTCATTGGTGATGTACTTTTATTATAAAGTAGATAAAATCACTTTTAATTAAATGTGTTAGTTTAGATTTTTCCGTTTTCCTCGACACACAAGACGTGTACTTACAGATTTATTTAACTTTTTCAAAATATTGTAATGTATGCATTTCATTAACTTTTCAACTTGAGAATAATTGAATGAACATATTTTGACGGGTCAATTTTGAAATGTATTGTTATACATTATTGATGATTACAAACTCATTGTCTTTGTTACAAAACGAAACTCTCCATTTATATGACAATTCCCGTAATTTATCTGACAACGTGGAAAACAATTTTTTTAAGAACATTTTTCTTTATTTCTATTTTTCAAACGAAGTTTTAGGACTGAAGATCTAAAAATTAGATTGCCGACAGAGTGGGACTATAGCATGTAAGATTTTCTCGAAAATCCTAGTCAAACTTTTATTAAGAAAAAGCCAGTGTTGCTTTTTGTATTTTCATTATATTATTGATGACCATCGTATGGTTGTCAATGGCAATAGACAAACAACCTTAATCATATCCAACCATATAATACTCGACATTTAAATTTAAGCATATAATAGCTTTTACAATACATCAAAACATTTGAAAACGATTTTGTCACTTTCAGCTATAATAATTTCTGAAGTTTCGCAACCCCCCCCCCCTTCTGGATATACTCGGTCCCCAGTTTTACCCGACCCCGCTAAATAAATTTGTTTTTGAAAAAGGAAGCCTTTTTGCAATAAACAGAAACAGAAAAAAAGTATCGGCTGACAAATCGATCACTTTTGAAATGGAATAAGTGATGAATACCGAATTTTGGACGGATAGCTAATATTAATAAATTATAAATCTTAAGTTGAATAAAATAAAAAAAAATGTCTTATTTTATTGATGTCGATACTTAAAAAAAGTTGGTATATAGAAATAGTTACTCAGTTTAAAATACAATTTATTCAGGCTTTGTAATATTTTAGCTTACACGGAGTCCAGAAGGTATTTTCTGACAATTATGTGTTTTATTTGTGCCAGCTGTTGTTGTAACAAATCCTATCTTCCACATCTTATATTATTTATATTTTCCAATACGTTTTTTTTTACATATACAATATATCTAAAAATAAAATCAATTTCCAAACGCTTTCCTATTGAACTGTGTGACATACAATTGAAGGACACTTGTTAATTTGCTAAAAATCTGCCCACAACATCTCTCTTCGCACCCTGTCCAACGCTTTTTCAATTCAATGGATTTTTTTTTCATTCTAATATAAAATATATAATTATTTTTTTGAATTATTACCTACATAATAGTTTCCTTTGCAGAGTGGCTGGACTATAGGTCATGCAATGTGCGAATAGAAAATATTATAATTTGCTAAAAAATCTAATTATTTGCGAAGGTAATTTGAACAATTATTACAATGTCCTTCGATCAGATCATCTAGATATCAACAATTATTACTGCACGAAATATAAATTAAACTTCAACGTTAATGAAAAAAAATGTGTTTTAAAATTACAGCAATAATACACTATAAGTATTTTCTAATTTTAAGTTCGGCTCATTATAAAAGTTGCACTAATATATTAATGTCACTTATTTAAATAAATAATTACAATTATATAACTATAAAAAAAATGCAAAGAACGCATTTTTGGAAAATGTAGTCAAATGTATGGACATGATTGTACGAACCTAATGACTTCCACTTCCAATACATTTCTCTTTCTTAGTTAGAATGAAAAACACATAAATCTTCAACGTTTTATTCTATTACCAAAAATATGAAAAAAAACAATTTTTAACGCTAAAAACTTAAATTCAGACAGGCGAAAAAATATATTACAAAAAAAAAATTTAGATCAAAGAAACTACAAAAAATATCCATCTTTAAAAAAAAAAAATACATCATACACATATGCTACAGTTAAACTTTTGTCCTGCTATAGTTATCCTACTATGTTCCTATTATAACATGTGCTATATTTACTAGGTAGGAAGTAGGAAAACAGACTTACAACTTCCGGCCAAGTAAACTAAATTTCGATTTTTTCATGACTGGTTTCATATGTCGACTGGTTTTATTTGTTGACATAGATGTATAACAAATATATTACATTATGATGGTATTTACTTAGTTCCTATATTTATATCACGTATTTTAAGGCTTATGTTGAAACACATTTTTTTTTTACTTAGCTACTATTTACACTGAGTAAACGAAGTGTTTTTGTTGGAATAAAATTAACATTAATTATAATTTAGGCTAATGAATGTCGTAAAATGTTGAAAATTTTTGTTTGTTTTATTTACAACGTTGTACGTTTCAAAATTGAGTATTGCTTATGAAAATTTTCATTCGATTATTCTCAACTTAAAAAGTTAATGAAATACATACAATATACATGAATAACACTTAAATGGTAAACTATTTTAGAGATAATGCATACAACAAATGAAATAATGTTTTTATAATATATAAAATTTGTTTAATGTAATTAACATTAAATTATAATTTACGAAATACATATACGTTAAAAATATAGTAACTTAAAGTTAATAAATCTCTTAACACACATTTGTATTGAGGAAAACTTAAAAAAACTAAAATAATACAATTATTTTATCTAATTTTTTATCTACTTGATAATATCTAATTTCAGACGTTTCAGGTAACCCGTCTTCCGTTTCTCAATACTATTGTCGCTGCTAGGAATATCTGACCTAAAATATGATTTAAACCATTTTAATAATACAATGAAAATATAGACAGCAACTTAGAAATTTACTTCTAGCAAAGTGCAGTTTTCCCCTTTTCTTGTTGGATTTTGCTTAATAAAATAGTAATTTGACTATAGATCTTTATGAAAATTGTATATGTTTCATACAATCTTACATAACTATAAATAACTCAATTATACCTGATTTTTACTTTCACCTATTTGTAAATGTATTTTTCGATATGTGCCACTCGTAATCAATATTTTTAAATAGTCTACTTTTGGCCATCAAAATGTTCATCCTCAACATGAAAAGCCAATGAAATACATACGCCATCATAATTCTAAAAAGTTAAATAAATGTCTAATCACACTTTTGTATCGAGGTAAATGTCAAAAAACTAAAATAAAACGTTTATTCAATGTGATTTTATCTACTTTTTTATCTACTTTATAATCACCAACCTAACCTAACCAATGTCTGTTTCATCTACACACAATAAAACACGAATAACGCTATGCACTATAGGTGACAAAAAAGGTTCAGAAAACAATATTGTGATAATTACCACCTATACATGATACTGTTTATCTATATGAAAATAAAAATTTCAAGGAATGTGTCAGTCTAAATGTCAAAATATTTTCAAACGTATTCCGTGTATCGACGAGTTATAACGCCGTCCGACGTTTGATGAAAAAGAAACATGTACTACATAATTAAAATTTGTTACTCATTATGTCTACTAAAAGCTTATGTGTGGCCAAAGGTAATATTTTAGTTCTTAATAGCGAAATAAATTCACGTTAAAACAATTATTATTGTTTTCTAAACAGGATATCATGCCCACGTTCTTACAACCTATTCAACATCTGGTCCGTTTTACTAATTTTGAGATAATCGTCAACCAGTCTAATGGAGAAGTAAAAGAAGGTGCTTTTAAGCAGTATTATGATACACAGATATTGGATCTAGACTACGTTATCTATAAGAAAGTAGTGGCACATCGCGTAAGTACAAACTGTTTCTTACCGAAGTCCCTCATGAGTTTTTAAAAAAAAAATTATGGCATTATAATATCTAATATTAAACATTTTAACTTAATAAGAGACTTTACACCAACAGAACTTTAATTGGCTCGATGCCTCTGTGTTGGGTTTTTAAGCAAATTGTTTCTTTTATATATATTTTTTCTTTTCAGATGCATTTTGAGCTGATTAAATGTAAAGAGCATTACATAGATTGCGTTAATGTTAGAACATTTGATGTTCTTAATTTGTGTGGCAATGAAAATGCTATTAAAATTTTTTTTAAAGCAGATTACATAAGCCAAGAGATTACCTGTGAACTCCAAGTAATATACTTAAGTATTTTTTATGACTGCGAGGGCTTTTCATACATTCCCTTCCGTTTTTTACCACCACTGACTTAACTCGTACGAAAAAATTAATTATTTATAGATTATAACTTACATCTAATTCAAATTCATCTAAAAAGTTGACATAATAAAAATGTACTAAAACCATTAGTTTCTTTAAATATTTCATATTTTTGCTCTTTAATCAAATATTGCGATGGCTAAATAAATTAATATAGAAATATTTGTATACATTTTATCATAAAATTGGGTGTGTTCCTATGCTATGTAATATACTAATAAGTATTTTTATGACTAAGGGCTTTCCGTATAATTGCAATCCTTATTTAAAAAGAGAAACACTAACAACAGTTCGCATATATCTCTTATATTTGATTCAATTACCAAAAATAGCATTTAAAAAAAAATGTTTTTGCCACAAACCTAAATCTTTAATTATTGCTAAACAAATATGATTTAAAAAAGTGCAAAAAATATTTACATTCAATAAAATATCAAATCATCTTACGAAGGAACATCGTCTTGCTGATGATTAAAGTATATTTTTGAAAACATTTTATATATTTTTATTAACAGATTTCTATTGTGTGTTTCGATTCCTTATCTTTAAAATAAGTCCTTATGTTTCGTTTTAAGTATCATACAATATTTCTTTATGATTTCATCGGTGTTGTATTATTTGTCAATAGGGCGAGTACCTTGCAAGAAATTTAACATACAACATGGAATATGTACATCAATTGTTTTTCACATTGTCAGATAAATGGTGGGAATTGACATTCAAATGGAGAATTTCTTTTTATAACAAAGAAAATGAGTTTATTATCAAATTCATTGGCGATTACAAATATATCACTTACAGAAAGCGAAATCGAAATCCTATAAGCACATAAAAAGTCATAATTTTTTTTTTTAATTGATCTACATTTTATGAATCTAATAAACACATGTGTTAAAATAGCCTTATGGGTTGTTCTCAAAATTGATATCTGTCAATTGTTTGGCTCGAAAGAAAAATATACATTAATCTAATTATAAATTGTTTATATTTTTCCTTAGTCGAGCGACCCTTATGGACACGCGTGTTTTTCAAATTAATTATATTTTATCTTTAGCTAATGTACTATATCAACATAGTTCAATAAAATTAAATATTAATAATAAATATACTTACACGTGCATGTGCCGACGTATAGCGTGGATACTTTTGTTTTTATATGTTGTTTACAGATATGGTCAGTAGCGTATTTTTTTTTTTGGGGGAGGGTGTCTACGGTGTTACAACACCCCCCGGCTAAAAAAACTGAGCCGGTGGTCGTGTATCAGCGAGGCTTTTGGGGGGCGAAAAGATTCCCCGGTTAGTAACCGATCGATAGATACGGCTGTGGGAACCCGTGAGGTGTATTGTGGAGTTCCTCAGGGCCCTGTCATTGGACCACCGGTACTGTGTAACATATTCTATGACAGCCTTCTGAGACTCGACCTTCCTGCCTTGTCGGAGTGCAGCTGGTCGGTTTTGCGGACGATGTAATCGTGATTGGCACTGGTCACACGACGGATCTCTGCTGGAGATGGCGATAAACCCTGCGCTGGCGATGGTGGGCGATTGGACGGAGGCGCACACGGACTTAAAATGTCTTACAGAAAGACAGTGGCCACGGTGATGAGAAACGAGAGAGGCTCTGGGAAACCAGACATTTTCCTGCAAAATGAACGTGGTGTATAGCAGGACAACCAAATACCTGGGCAATGTTGAGCTGAGCTCTAACCTGGGCTTTCGCGACCGTCTTCTGGCTGTCAGGGGCAAGGCATCGAGGACAGCAGCCGCGCTTAGCCGTCTTATGTTCCAACGCAACAGGGACACCATCCAGAGCCCACAGCGTACCACGGCTTTAAGGGTAGCGAGTGTCTATAGGACGGTCTCTGCGGCAGCCGTACCCGTGGTGTCTGGGATCTCTCCCATTCATCTACTTGTCCGACAGCATGATGGAGCACTGGATGTTGTGGCGGAAGGCCTAACGAGGGCAGAGGCCAAAGTGAGAGCTACAGACGAGACGCTGCAGCAATGGCAGGCGGAGTAGCCGTGGAAACGAAGGGTTCCTGGACGAGGAACCCTTGTTCCTGGACGAGGAACCCTTGTTCCTGGACTCGTCGGATACTGCCCAGTGCAAAGAGATGGAAATCCAGGACATACGGTGTAATAAACTACCATCTCACGCAGTTTCTGACGGGGCATGGATGCTTCAGCGCCTACTTATACAGGTTTAAGCGCCTAGATAACCCGCAGTGTGTCTACTGCCAGCATCCCTGGGAAGACGCCGAACACGCATTTTTCGTGTGCGATCGGTGGAGGCTACTCAGTTGGTTATTGGAGACAGAGTTTGGTATAGATTGGGCGCCAGACAGCGTGGAAGACTATATGCTGAGATCGTCAGACCAATGGAGGGCTATAGCCGACTATATCAATGGAGTTCTCTCAAGGAAAGAGAGACAGAGACAAAAGGGAGCGGCGGGTGCTGTGCCACCGGCTCCTGAAGACTAGATCGGTGATCCGTGTGAAGCCACGAGTGTATCCCAACGACACGAAGCATTTAATATGTATATAAATGTTCAAGAAAATGTGAATATTGCAACTAGAATTAAGTAAAACTGTGATCCCGCTTCACGAAGAGGAAAACGGGATTTTTATAATTATTGTAATTTATTGTAGTGGATGCTAATGAACGGTGCTGCCTGGGAGGAAGTAGTGTGCAAACAGTTCCATCCCAGGTTAGCAATTACTTGGAAAAAAAAAATGTATTACACGTGACAAATTTTGTACTAAATATACAACAAATAATTACATTTTTTCTTATAATAAAACCATTTATTTCACAATACATACACAAAAGCAATGGTCATTGGCAAAAACCGTTTTCGTAGAGACCGACAATGTAATGCAAAAACTAAAAAAAAAAAACAACTTGATTTTATAATTCAATTTAGTCGAGATTCGTTATAAAAAGCTTTAATTTATAGTTATATAAAATATTATATTATAAATATTTACTAACATAAGTAAGTTTTTAGTGGTCAGCATCAAAGGAGGACGTAGGGGGGGGGTAGCTTAGATTGAGAGTGAAAAAAGTCATATATAGTATATATATTATTTATTTAGTTAGATATTTAGTTTTTCGGTTTTCATGTTTTGAAAGCTCTATCTAGTCTATCGTATTATCAAAAGGACAATTGAAATCTCCTAAATTTTAGTTTTTAAGTCTACCAAATGAATTTTCGGTATCAGTTTTAAACTTTTATTTATTGTTCTATCGTTCGGACTGTACATTTACTAAAATACACTTAATTATTGACAACTATTCAAAATTAATTTTTGGGTTTTTTATTGCAATCGTAATATTTTCCTCGTAATTACTTTCTACTGTGCAACTTTATCTATTCTTTCTCTTGACTCCCTTGAATACTTATAATTAAACGTGATCTTTGCTTTTTATATTATGGCATTCGTATCAACTTTGTCTGTTCTGGGTTTCTTAATCGATTGTCATTTTTAGTTATCGACTCACCGGATCTAGCACCTTTATTTATATTCTTACTAGAACGAACTATGCAATGAACAGCCCGGTATACCGTTTCTTTCTATGTTGCTATAATACATTAACTAAACATAAAATAAACCAGTTAGCTCGCCTAGGAAAAAATGTAAACAAAAATAAAAACAAATTTAGTAAGATTATTGTATATTTTTCTTTCAAACCAAAAATTTGACAGATATCAATTTTAAGAACAATCCATGAAGATGTTTAATACTTTAATAGATAGTATTTATTCTATTCATAACTTGGTTTAATTAAATTTAAAACATTTAAAAAAATTATGACTTTTCATGTGCTTCTAGGATTTTGATTTCGTCTTCTGAATGTGATAAATTCGTTATCGCCAATGAATTTTGCTATAAACTCATTTTCTTTGCTATAAAATGAAACTCTCCATTTGAATGCTAATTCCCACCATTTATCTGACACCGTGAAAAACAGTTGAGGTACATGCTCCATATTGTATGTTATATTTCTTACAATATATTCCCCCTAACAACAAATAATACAACACTCTAATGAAATTATAATGCACATTGTATGCTACTTAAAACGAATCATAAGTACTTAATTTAAAGATACTTAAAGGTAGATAGGAACACAACGCATTTTTTGAATAAAATGTATACAAATATTTCTATAATAATAATAATAATAATAATAATGTAAAAAATATGTTCAAAAATATACTAATCAGCGGCAAAGATGATGTGATATTTTATTAAAGGTAAATATTTTTTGCATTTTTTTTTATCTCAAAATTTTAGTTTTTTGGTATTTAACAATATATTTTTGGTAATAAAATTTAATTAAATGTTAGAGACCTAAGCGTACTGTAGGAAATATTACTCTTTCAGGCTTAATAAGGGAAATATATGGTACGCTTTTTGATTTATACCCACAAATTTAAATAATTTTTCGAAAAAAAGGGTATTTTATTTTTCAGTTTTTTTATAGGAATATAATTTTATTTCAATTACTTATTTTTAAAGTGCTTATAATATATTATTATTATAGTCTACATGGCGAAGAATAACAACATTACATAGTTTTTGTCACAAGCTATGCTTATTTGGGAGGTGTCATTTTGTTTCAATAATACAATATTTTTGTACAATTTATGTTATTGACAAAAAAAAAAAATACTTAGCCTTACTTGAACTTCACACGTGATCTCTCGGTTTTTAAAATCTGCTTTATAAAAAAATCGTACAGCTTTTTCATTACCACACAAATTGACAACATCAAATGTTCTAACATTAACGCAATCTATGTAATGCTCTTTACATTTATTCAGCTCAAAATGCATCTGAAAAGAAAAAATATTTTAACTTGTATATATATATATTTTAAAAGAAATAATTTGCATAAAAACCCAACACAGAGGCATCGAGCCAATTGAGATTTTATTGGTGTAAAGTCTCTTATCATGTTAAAATGTTTAATATTAGATATTATAATGCCATAAGAATTAGTTTCTACGTACGCGATGTGCCATTACTTTCTTATAGAAATACAAGTCAATATCCAACATCTGTGTATCATAATACTGCTTAAAAGCACCTTCTTTTACTTCTCCAATAGACTGGTTGACGATTGTTTCAAAATTAGCAAAACGAGCCTTATGTTGAATAGGTTGTAAGAAAGTAGGCATGATATCCTGTTTAGAAAACAATAATAATTGTTTAAACATCAATTTCGATATTAAGAACTAAAAGATTACCTTTGACCACACATAAAGTTTTAGTAGACATAATAAGTAACAAATTTTAATTATTAAATTCATATTTATTTGTTTTCTCAACGTCGAACGGCGTTATAACTCGCCTTACGGAATACGTTTGAAAGTATTTTTGACATTAATAAATTCATCGAACTGTTTGTTTTTGTATTTAATGTAAAAAATAAACATTTGGTGGTAATTATCATTGTATTGTTTTCTGAACCTTATTTTGTTACATAATAATATGGTCCAATTCGTTGTCCTTGTTTTTTTTGTGTGTGTAGAGGAACCACGGTCGATGACGATGTACTTTTATAATAAAGTAGATAAAATCTCTTCTCAATAAGTGGTTTCGTTTAAACGAATTTGTTATTTTAGCTTTTTGTTGTTTTTCTCGATAAAAACGTGTGTATATATAAACAACTTTATTTTGAAAAAAACAAGCGGACTGCTCCCCCGTGAATAGCCTTGCGACACAGTTTACCGATCAATACCACGTACATACTACATAGTTAACAGAAATGTATTAAGTTATATTTAACTTGAAAAGAAAAATATTCTATGAATAATTTATTGTCATAGGGCATGGAATAACCAGAATAGTCATTTTTCAATTGACTTACACCTGTGGCAATTTCAGGATAGGCATTATGAAGATAATTTCCATATTCTCTTATTTCAGGCGTCAATGTTTGCAATAATATAATTATAGGAGAACATGTTAAATTTTTTTTAAAAATTGAGTGTAAAACAAGCCTTTGCTTTGAATATTTTGACGATTTATTCTAAGCGGAATTAAACT